AATGTTTCACCATTCTCTGCCTTTTGCTTTATATATATACTAGCCTCTCTGCACGCGCTTCCGCGCCTGCGAGAGGCTTTTTAAAAAAAAATTAAAATCTATTTTAGAATTAAAAAGATAATGGGTAGTTGTGTTCCATAAAAATAGGCCATTATCTGATTTTTCTTTTAATTTTAATTTTTTTAAATACGAAAAAGTGTGAATTTACCATATTATCCTCATTTAATTAAAAATTTCAATTCTTAATGTTTGCATTAACCAAGGGCATTTTCTGGTATTTTGAATGTTTCACCATTCTTTGCCTTTTGCTTTATATATATAGATATATAGATAAATAGTATAGCCACACGGCTATACTCGATTTTTTCTACTTTTTTAAAAATAGTATAGCTGCGGGTCATTTTTTTAATATATATATAGTATAGCCGAGTGGCTATACTCGGGTTTTTCTGAATTTTTTTTTAAATAGTCGCGGCTATACTCAGTTTTTTATTTCTTTTCAAAAATAGTATAGTCGGACGGCTATACGGGGGTTTTTTCTGAATTTCTTTTAAAATAGTATAGTCGAGGCTATACTCTTTTTGACACGTGGGCCCCTAATCGCAAGGGGTTTTTATATATATATAAATAGTATAGCCGCCCGGCGATACTTGGTTTTTTTGAATTTTTTTAAAAAAATAGTATAGCCGAGCGGCGATACTCTGTTTTAGTATACAAAATAGTATAGCCGCGAGGCTATACCCGATTTTTTTTTTATTTTTTAAAAACTATTATATCCCTGCGGCTAAAACTAGTACATGTGGCGCCAAAGTTTTTTTCAACCATCCGAACCTTCGATTTTTCACATCTTCATTTAGAGATCATCCTTGCAAAAAATCATGCAAATTGAAAGTCATTAAGGCATCTAATGTTGAGACCAACAAAATCAATGAACACAGTACTTCAAGAAAGAGACCAACAAAATCAATGAACATAGTACTTCAAGAAAGTACTTAGATTTCAATAATTTAATTGAGTGGTCAAATGATTTCAGATTAAAGTGATTTTGTGTAAAGATAATCTTTGAATGAATATCTATAAAATAAATGGTTTGGATTAGTGAAATACAATGCGGAGTGTCCCTCAATGGAATCTCTCTCTCTCTCTCTCTCTCTCTATATATATATATATGGGAGCTGATTTCCCCACTCCCCTTTTTTCCACTTACACTCCCTTTTGCTTTTTAATACTTTTTAATTAATTTTGTTTTTTCTCTTTCCTATTCTGTGTTTCTGCTGATATTGATTCCCCAACCAACCAAGTCATCATTTCCACTCAAGACCAACCCCAATTTGCAACTTCACAACCATCGTTCAACTAAGAAACCTTTCAGTCAAAACCATTTTATCAATAGGCGCAACTAAGACTGCTTTTGCTTCCATGGCTAGCCAACCAAGATCCCGCAAAGCATTCATTGACTCCATAAACATTTTCGGATCTTATAACTTCCATGGCCTTGACATTAACTGGGAGTTCCCCGCCACGGCCACAGACATGTCTAACTTTGGCATCCTCCTCGCAGAATGGCGAGCCTCGGTGGCCAATGAGTCCCAGACAAGTGGGAGGCCCCCATTGCTTCTAGTGGCAGCAGTCTACTACTCTACAACTTATCACTCATTGTTGCACCCCATTCAGTCGATATCAGACAACTTGGACTGGATCGATGTGATGGCATACGACTTTTTCGCACCCAGTTGGTCACCCAATGTAACAGGGCCCCCTGCTTCACTGTACAACCCAATCAGTCCCATAAGTGGATATTATGGGCTCAGTGCTTGGCTTCAGGCAGTCAAAGATTGCATTTGGCCTCCCATTTTATGGGTACGCATGGAATCTTACAAACCCATATCAACATGGTATATTTGCACCAGCCAATGGAATGGCAGTACTGCCAGATGGCGTGCTGGGTTACGTCCAGATCAGGGCTTGTACAGCTATGACAGCAACTGTGTTCATTTCCACACTTGTTATGGACTATACCTATTCTGGGAAGACTTGGATTGGTTATGATGATACGTAGAGTATCACTACCAAAGTCTCATATGCTAAGGGCAAGGGACTAGTTGGCTACTTTGCATGGACCGTTGGCCTTGATCTCAATTGGACTCTTTCACAAGCAGGCAGGTATATATTTATATGACACCAACCCTCTTTCATGTTCTATTAATTTTGTGTTAAATTGATACCAAACTTTATATTTTAGGTTGATTAACGAAACAAAGACAGAACCTTTATAGCAGAAATTTATGCAGAGAAGGAAGAACACAGAGGATTGAGAATGTTCAGTATATTTTCTATATAAATCTCGGAGAAAAAACAAGCCTATATTCTCCTACTCAGTCAAATGCTCATATCCTATTTTTTAGGGAGCAAGGACTCATCTCCAGCCATTCAGGCCATCGAAGGCTACGATCCTTCCACTTGGAGAAAGATCAGATAACACAGTACATCCCAAAACATATAAGAATAACAGCTGTGTAGGTTTCTAAAACATGAAATAAAACTAGCGGTTACAAGTTTAAAACTAACAGCTATTTCTAAAAAAGGACAAGTTCTTTATCTCTTCAATTTCTTCATTCTCTTCACTTCCAATCTACAAGATTGTCATCTGCAGGTTGATTTAAGCTAAGTATGCAGCTTAATTCTCAACAGCCTCTCATAAGCTGCTTACTGGCTTAACTCCAAGCCTCAATCTCAATTGATTAAATCTGTCCTTTGGCAAGGCCTTTGCAAAAATGTTTGCAAGTTGTTCTTCACTTCTGCAGAATTGCACATTGATCACACCTTCTTACAGAGCTTCTCTTATAAAATGATACTTTGTTTATATGTCTAGTTCTTTGATGAAAAACTGGATTCTTAGCCATATATGTAGCTGACATATTATCACAGAATAAAGGTGTTGCCTCAGTTTGCATCTCCCCAAAATCATCAAGGACAAACCTCAATCAAATGGACTGTGATGTTGCCTCAGATGCTGAGACATACTCAGCTTCAGCAGTTGATAGTGCCACTGTGTTTTGTTTCACATATGCCCAAGAAAATGCTCCACTGCCAAAGCTAAATGCATAACCAGAGGTGCTTCTGCTATCATCTTCTCTTCCTGCCTAATCTGCATCACAGAACCCAATGAGAGTTGCAGACCTGTCCTTCACATACTCAATGCCATAGTTAAGGGTCCCTTGCACATATCTTAGTACCATTCGTGCAACCCCCAGATGCTTCTTGGTAGGACTATTCATAAACCTTGATAGCAAACTTGCAGCATACATTAGATTAGGTCTAGTTGCTGTTAAATACAGTAGGCTTCCCACTATTTTCCTGTAAAGCCCTTCATCAGCCAATTCACTCTCATCCACTTTCTTAAGTTTTTCACCAGTGGGCAAAGGAATGGATACTGGTTTGCAGTCTTCAAGTCCAAATTTCACAAGCAGAGATTTGACATACTTGCTTTGGTGGATGAATACTCCTTGATCAATTTGTAATATCCCCATGCCCAAGAAATGATGTAGAAGTCCAAGATCTGGCATTTCATATCTCTGCATCATCTCTCTTTTGTACTCAGTAAGCATCTTCTCACTGCTTCCAGTGTAGACAATGTCATCAACATATATTGAGACAATTATCAAACCTCATTCATTATCAGATCTTGTATACAATGTGGCTTCACTTGTGCTTCTTTTGAACTTTCATAGAGAGAGATATGCATCAATCTCACTGTACTAGGCTCTAGGTGCCTATTTAAGTCCATATAAGGCCTTTCTTAACTTGTAGACCTTGTGACCTGCATTCTTTAACTCAAAACCTTCAAGCTATTCAACATGCACTTCTTCATCAAGCACACCATTTAGGAATGCTGACTTAACATCCAACTGAAATAACTTCCACCCCTTTTGTGATGCAAGAGCAATGAGAGTTCGAATTGTGTCTAACCTTGCCACTGGTGCAAAGGTTTCATTGTAGTTAATCCCAGGTTTCTGTGTATACCCTTTGGCTACAAGCCTGGCCTTGTGTTTTTGAATTGTTCCATCCAGGTTAAGCTTAGTCTTAAACACCCATTTCACACCTATAACAAGTTTATCAACTGGCCTCTCAACAAGTTCCCAAGTATTGTTCTTTTCAATCATTTCCAACTCTGCATTCATAGCCTATTGCCAAGCTATATCACTTGCTGCTTCTTGATAATTCTCTGGTTCTATAATGCACATGTGACACCTTGCATATATATCTTCCAGAGTTCTCAACTTCACTGGAGTGGAGCTAGGTGTGGAGACTTGGCTGTTATTTCCACTATTATCCTCAACTGACTCCTCAACGATAGTGTTTAAATGAGAACTTCCAGCATTATCAAATTGGGTTACATCAGTTTGTTCTTCACTAACTTCATCTTCTGTTCCATTCCCTTCAAGATTGAAAGGTATTGAGATAGACTCCACTTGGTTACTTTCCCAATTCCATGACTTGTTTTCACTGAAAATCACACTCCTTGAGAGTACAATTTTCTTAGATTTCAGATCATACACTCTATATCCCTTTTCACATCTTCCATATCCCATGAAGACCCCTTTCCGGTTCTGTCATCAAATTTATGCCTCAAAGGTGATGGGACATGAGTATAGCAAATACAACCAAATACTTTCAGATGCTTAATTCCAGGTTTCCTACCTGTGAAAGCTTCAAAAGTTGTTTTGTTCAACACGGATGTTGTAAAGCATCTATTTTGAAGGTACACATTTGTGCTCACAGCTTCTGCCCAGAAAATCACAGGAATTCCTTTCTCAATCATCATGGACCTTGCCATCTCACCAATTGTTCTATTTCTTCTCTCAGCAACTCCATTTTGTTGAGGAGAGTAGGCAATGGTCAGTTGCCTCTCCATTCCCATGTTTGCACAGTAATCCTGAAATTCATGTGAGGTGTATTCACCACCTCTATCACTCCTTAGCTTCTTCAAACTGAATCCACTTTGCAGTTCAACAAAAGCTTTGAATTTCTTGAACACATTGAAGGTATCAGACTTATTTCTAAGGAAGTATACCCAACACATTCTTGAGAAATCATCTATGAATGTGATGAAATACCTATTTCCTCCAATGGACTCATTTTGCATTGGTCCACACAAATCTATGTACACCAATTCAAGTGGATAGCTTGCCCTCCATGTTTTTTCTTTGTCAAATGGCTTTCTATGATGTTTCCCTAAAACACAACCTTCACACACATCTTCCATTTCTGTCAAAACAGGTAATCCAAGTACCATTTCCTTCTTCTGCATCTTCTTCATGCTAGCAAAATTCAAGTGTCCAAGCCTTCTGTGCCAGATCCAAGAGTCTTCAATCACTGATGCTGTTCTGGCTACAGGTGTTATAGTTCCTAGTGAAAGGGGAAAACATTGATTTCCTGCCATGATCACTTTTGCTACTACATTGTTGAGACTTCTATCATCAAAGATAACTGCCATGTTACCCCCAAATAGAAAATAGTAACCATGCTCCATCATCTGGCCTACACGTAATAAATTCTCATCCAAACCCGGAACTAGCAACACTTCATTTATATATCTTTTCCCACGCTAAGTTTCAACCACTAGAGTGCCTTTTCCAGTTGCTTGTACAAGATCTCCAGTACCCATTTTAACTTTACAAGTCACAGATCTGTCAATGTTTATTAATACAGACTCTTGAGATGTCATGTGGTTGCTGCAGGCACTGTCCACAAACCATACACTTCTATCTTGCATACTTGTAGTGTGACAAGCATAGAACATGGTTCATGTGGTTACTTCTTCTTCCTTTATACAGTTGGCTACTTGCTTGTGACTATCACAATCCTTTGCAGTAACCAAAACGATTGCATTTTCCACACTTAGCTTTTCCTTTGTATCTGCACACACCAAAATGATATTTCTGACACACTTGACACTGTGGTTTCACACCACTTTGACTACTACTTCCTTGCTTGTTCTATGAATTGAATCTATTGTTCCAATTTCCTCCAGAACTATTATTCCAACTTGAGCCATTGTTGTTGTTCAAGTTTCCACTTTGAGACCAATTTGATCCCTTTTTGTATTGTCCCTGCCACTTTTGATTTGGCCTACTCTATGAAACTTTATAGGTACCAATGTCTTGGTTATTTCCAACCCTGGGGCTACTAAAGGCTCTCTCAATTCCTATCAATTTATCTCTTTCATCATGCAAGCCTTCCCTTTTATCATAGACCTTGACTGATGCAATGACCTCTTCAACTCTAATAGCATCCAAATCTCGAGTTTCCTCAATGATAGACACAATGGACTTATACTTTCTACTTAGACTCATCAATAGTTTTTGCACAATTCTTTGTTCAGGCACATCTTCACCAAGGGATTTCAGATTATTCACAATTCCAAAAAACCTAGCCAAATAGTCATCTAGGCTTTCACCATCTGTCATTCTCATATACTTAAAATCTGCTCTAACTGCTTGAAGTTTTAAATCTCTTACCTTTTTATCTCCTCTGAACTCTCTTCTCAGAATATCCCAAGCCCCTTTTGTAGTCTTTTCATTTCTGATGCGAGGGAAGAGCTCTTCTATTATTGCTCCTTGAATGAGACTCAGCGCCCTGGCATTTTTTATTTTGTCTTCTCTGGAGATGGTGGGTGCTTCCACTGGAACTTGCTCAGCCTCACTTTCTTCACCTCCAGAGGCTTCTTCCTCCTTGAGAATCGGTTGCGGTTGTACTCCGACCTCTACTACATCCCATAGATCATGTGCTATGAGGATAGTCTCCATTTTGACAGCCCAAAAATCGTAGTTTGCACCATCAAACTGTGGAGTTGTTAAATCTCCACCTGAAGAACCTGATCCCACCATTTTCTTAGTGAGTATCAGTGAACCAACCAATAAACGAACCACCTTTATCCCTTTTGGGAATTTTTTCAAGAAGGCCCTCTCTCACAGTTTACGCCCTTCTCTAGAATCAGACCTAGAGCTCTGATACCATGTTAAATTGATGTCAAACTTTATATTTTAGGTTGATTAATGAAACAAAGACATAACCTTTATAGCAGAAATTTATGCAGAGAAGGAAGAACACAGAGGATTGAGAATGTTCAGTATATTTTCTATATAAATCTCAGAGAAAAAAAAAGCCTATATTCTCCTACTCGGTCAAATGCTCAGATCCTATTTTTTAGGGAGCAAGGACTCATCTCCAGCCATTCAGGCCATCAAAGGCTACGATCCTTCCACTTGGAGAAAGATCGGATAACACAGTACATCCCAAACCAGATAAGAATAACAGCTGTGTAGGTTTCTAAAACAGGAAATAAAACTAGTGGTTACAAGTTTAAAACTAACAGCCATTTCTGAAAAAAGGACAAGTTCTTTATCTCTTCGATTTCTTCATTCTCTTCACTTCCAATCTGCAGGATTGTCATCTGCAGGTTGATTTAAGCTAAGTATGCAGCTTAATTCTCAACACTTTCATGTTCTATTAATTTTGTGCTAACTCCCCATGTGAGTGTTAAATTTATTTGCAGCTTCATACGCTTGGGAAGCTTAGGGACGGACAACTTTCCCTGCTCGAAGATCATGTGATTTTACACTCTCCTCTCCATTCTAAAGACCAATTAGCTGATGCTACACCACTCAAAGCAGAAATGGCATGCCATTTGTATTCCTCCAAGACTCTTTAGGCCAATTACCTAGAGAGAGAGAGAGTAAAATAAAATAAAATAAAGACCCGTTCGAACTCTCTTTTTTGTTGTGTTTTGTTTTTCAAATTAGCGATAATGAACACTGATAGTAACTCCGTTCTCTTTTTATCTTATTCAACCCCGGAAAATCCTCCTCTCCATATCCCTCCAAGACTCTCTCGTTATCGGACTGAAACTCAACATCCTCTCCATATCCCTCCGCAGGTTGCGAGGTCCGAGCGGGTCGCACGTCGGGGCCTGGTGGTGGTGGTCTATCGTGAGAGAGAGAGAGAGAGAGGGAGGGAGAGAGGAAAGGAGGCGACGGCTCAGAGGAGAGAGAGGCAGCGTGAGGTTTTATTTAAAGTCTAGAAAAAAAAACCTCACCCCCCCAGGCGCCCGGACCCGCCTAGGCAAAGACAGTTTTAGAGCATAACCTAAAACTCGGTTGTTTTTTTATATAAACAGTATAGCCAGGCGGCTATACTCGATTTTTTTTAAAAAAATATATATATAGTATAGCCAAATACTCGGTCTTAGTAATGTTTCTAAAAGATAGTATTGCCGACCGACTATACTTATTTTGACACGTGGGCTCCTTACAGCGGGGCGGGTCCTTTTTATTATAAAAAAAATGGTCTCTCCACGCGGCTAGACTCCTTTTTTCTGATTTTTTTTAAAATAGTATAGCCGCTCGGCTACACGTACACGTGGGCTCCTGAGCGGGCCCTTTTAATTTTTTTTAAATAGTATAGCCGCACGGCTATACGCTGTGTTTATCAGATTTTTTTTTTAAATAGTATAGCCGGACAGCGATACCTATTTTGAAACGTGGCACCTATTCGCTAGGCAGGTACTCTCTTTTTTTATATATAAATAGTATAGCCGCGCGGCTATACGGGTTTTTTTTTTTTTTTTTATACGTTCTAGCCGCTCTGGGATCACTGCTTGGCTTCAGGCAGGTCTGCCTACAAAAAAGATTGCATTTGGTCTTCCATTTTATGGCTATGCATGGAACCTAACAGATCCAAATCAGCATGGTATTTTTGCACCAGCCAGTTGAAATTGTTGAATGGCAGTACCGCTGGATGGATCAGCGGGTTACAACCTAATCAAGGCATATATAGCTGAGAATGGTGCACCAACTGTGTTTAATACTATACTTGTTATGGACTATTCCTATACTGGGAAGACTTGGATTGGTTATGATGATAGGCAAAGTATCACTACCAAAGTTTTGTATGCTAAGCGAAAAGGACTACTGGGCTACTTTGCATGGAATGTTGGCATCGATGTCCAATTGAGCATTTAAAAGCTTCCCAATCATGTTTTTCATCATTAATTAATTGTACAGATGATGCCTAATGTGAGTGTTAAATTTGTTTGCAGCTTCATGCGCATGGGGAGAATAGGGACACTACTTTTCCTACCAGAAGATGATGTGATTTGCATTCTCCACAATAAGACCAA